CTGCATTCACTATATCTGCTCTCCCCCCGGACCCTGCATTCACTATATCTGCTCTCCCCAGAGCCTGCATTCCTTATATCCGCTCTCTCCGGACCCTGCATTCACTATATCCACTCTCCCTGGACCCTGCATTCACTATATCCACTCTCCCCCGGACCCTGCATTCACTATATCCACTCTCCCCCGGACCCTGCATTCACTATATCCGCTCTCCCCCCGGACCCCCGCATTCACTATATCCACTCTCCCCGGACCCCGCATTCACTATATCCGCTCTCCCCAGACTCTGCATTCACTATATCTGCTCTCCCCAGGCCCTGCATTCACTATATCCGCTCTCCCCGGACCCTGCATTCACTATATCTGGTCTCCCCGGACCCTGCATTCACTATATCTGGTCTCCCTGGACCCTGCATTCACTATATCTGGTCTCCCCGGACCCCGCATTCACTATATCCGCTCTCCCCGGACCAGGGGTGGACTGACAACTCATGGGGCCCCCGGGTAATAGGGAATCATAGGGCCTCTGTGTCCTTGCCCAAACTCAAAAAAGCCAATGGAAAAGGTACCAGGGGCATCTCATGGGGCCCCCTACTGACCCCAGGCCCTCGGGAAGTGCCTGAGTTTCCAAATGGTCAGTCCGCCCCTGCCCCGGACCCTGCATTCAGAAGAATCCCAGACAATTCTTCTGTCAGTTATGGCTGCAATCTTTCTTGGTCTACCTGACCTTGGCTTGGTATCAAGAGATCCCCGAACTTTCCACTTCTTAATAGGTGATTTAACAGTACTGATTGGCATATTCAAGGCTGTGGACATCTTTTTATGTCCTTTTCCATCTTTATAAAGTTCCATTACCTTGTTACGCAGGACTTTTGACAGTTCTTTTCTGATCCCCATAGCTCAGTATCTAGCCTAATCAGTGCTTTCACGTAAGAGCTAACAAAACTCATGCCTATTTATACACTGACACTAATTGCAATTTAAAAAGCCACAGATGTGGGACATTAACCTCTAATTGGCATTTTAACCCGTGTGTGTCACCTTGTGTGTCTGTACCAAGGCCAAACATTCTGGGGGGTGGAGACTTCTGATCCGGGGGGCGGAGACTTCTGATCCGGGCCATTTGGGGGATTTCTGTTATCATTATGATTTAAAAAGGAGCTAAACAACTATTGGATAATAAATGGCTTCATATGATCATCATCCTTCAATAAAAGAGCATTTTTTTTTTGGCATGATCAGTCATATATTCAATATCAATGCCAAAATTTCACAATTTCTGCCAGGGGAGGCAAACTTTTGAGTACAACTGTATGTGTGTATGTATGTATGTATGTACTGTATGTATGTGTGTGTATATATGTATGTATGTGTGTATGTGTGTATATATGTATGTATGTGTGTGTGTATGTGTGTATATATGTTTATGTGTGTGTGTATGTGTGTATATATGTATGTATGTATGTGTGTATGTATGTATGTATGTGTGTGTGTGTGTGTATGTGTGTATATATATGTGTGTACGTATGTATTTATAACGTTTTGTGATACTAAGTAGTTTTCTAGCAAAAACTACTGATTTTTACTTGTTAACAAAAAGTGCCAGAAAAGGCTTGGTCTTCAAGTGGGATACTATAAACAAACAATTCTGCTTAATAATTGAACAATGCACGCATGATTGATGTCGTATTATATTACCAATATTAAACATTTACTTTAAAATATTTTTTATTTAAAGAACTTGTGGCAAAGGACTGCAGAGCAGCTTACTTGAACCAAAGAAGAAGAAGCGGACTCTACGTCCTCTGGCCCAAAAACTCCCCCCCCCATGGTGGTGTATTGTGACGTTAGCTCCGAGGGGGCCGGCTGGACGGTTCTGCAGAGGAAACTCCCTGGGAACCGCGCCTCCTTTGGGTCACGTGACTGGGAAGAATACAAAAATGGATTTGGCGATCTCCAGGACAGTCACTGGTTGGGCAATGAGATGATCTATCTGCTCACCAAGCAGAACGCCTTTACCGTTAGGTTCCTCTTGGTCGATAGTCAGGGTAATCAGCACTATGCCGACTATTCCAGCTTCAGGGTGGACAGTGAAGCCAATGGGTATTCTCTGAGGTTGGGGGAGTACTCTGGGAATGCTGGTGATGCCCTCACCCTCTGGAACGAGACAGGAATTCACGACAACATGATGTTCTCCACCAAGGACAGGGACCATGACCGGTGGGACCGCAACTGTGCTGACGTATTGCAAGGTGGGTGGTGGTTCGACAATTGTCGCTCCGCCCTCCTCAATACGGATGGTGAGGTATCCTGGGGTGGCATATGCAATAGGAAAAACCCCTGTGTGACTACCGGAATTATGATCAAGCCAGGCACCAAGAACTGTTCCCCTGTACCACGACCTGGGCCTGGCGAGGGCTTCCCCATCCACTATAGCTAGAATCGGGGTGGAGTCATGGAAAAACGCCTAAAATGTGGTTAAAGTTTATGTATAGCCAGCCAAAAATGTTCATATAATAGCAAATGATTAGACCCTCTGTCATGTTTTTATTACTACAAAAATGCATATCGAGAACTTCAAAACCCAAAAAAAGGAGAGCTCATTGGTTTTGGTGCGGTTGCTCATGTAAAGCAAGGCTTCTCTTCGATGGGTAACCAGAGTGTGACTCAAAATATAAAAAACACAAAAAAGAGCACCAGACCAAACAGTGAAAGGGTCCAAGTAGCTTTAACCCCTTGCCCCCACCCCTTTAGGGAGGTAGTGAGCCAGTCAACAGTAAATAGCTTCAAACACGCTTGGGATAAGCATAGATCTATAAAAAAGTTAACAAAAATCAAAAACCCAAACAAAAACGAAAAAAAAAAAAAAAAAAATACACAAAACACATACCCCCCCCCCCCAAAAAAAAAAAAAAAAAACAGGCAGACTCGATGGACCACTCGTTTTTTTTTTCTGCCGTCACTTTTCTATTTTTCTGCGTTAATGCCTGGGGGGGGGGAATGGTTCCCTCTTCATGATCATGTGATTGCTGTGATTAGCTGCCACCAGTACCTGGACACGTTTGTTCGGCGCCCGGGGCAAGCAGCAGCACTGCGCCCCCTTTCCCGTGCTCCTAATAGAATGGGTGTATCGCCCTGTGCCCATTCTCAGCCCCCTTTTCACTGGCTGTCCTTGGTTGCCATGGAGTGTTGACTACACGTTTTCCCAATTTCTTGCTTGGTATCAAATAGAAGGTAGTTACCTATGCCCAGTGTGTCAGCTGTGGGCAGATGGGGTTGAGAGTGGGCGATTGGAGCATGTGTGGCATCAGTAGCTGTCAGAGGAGGCATGAATGTGCGCTCTGCTGCTTGCTAGCCACTGATCTAGAGATTGCGTGTGGTGAAGAGGCGCCCTGGGCGGCTGTCCCTCCTGCCCACCCCTTGTCCCGGCCTTGGCTGCATAGTCATCACATGATTGGAAGCCCATACCGCTGGGCATGGTTGTTCTGGGAACGCACAGTGAGCATGTCCTCAGCACAGAACCTCATGGATGCACATGTGCGGCGGCTAGACGTTAAAGGCACCCCTGCCTTGTCACAGTACATACAGTATGAGTTACACTGGTCAAAGGAGGTTAAGGACTTATCACATGGTCACATAAAACTTTTTCTTGTTTTCTGTTGCGTATCTGATACAGGAAGAGAAGAAAAAAAAAATCTCATTATGGGACACAGACAGCAAAAAATCCTTCCCTACTCTATCCAAAAAAAAAAAAAAAAGAAAAAAAAAAAAAACTATGGCTATACATAAACTTTAAGCAAACTGCACTAACTCCAGTTGTCAAGGAGCTGCAGTTCTCGGCTGGGTATCACCAAGGCATGCTGGGAACAGCAATTTCCTGGCTACTGGTAGGATGAAGTGCTTCAGTCCTTAGAAATGTCTCCTACTTTATAAAATCGATAACTAGGCCCGATCGTTCCAGTAATCCTCTAAAACAAGATTCAATGGATTCTATTTATAAAAATGTCTCAGCACCTGTACAGTTGTCATGGATAATCCCCGTAATGTGTCCAGTAGGCTCATTCCCTATGATCCTTAGCTCCCTCTAGTGGCCATAATGCAATATTTTCCTGAAATAACGCAATCAGGAAGATATCACATCATGGCCACTAGATGGAGCTGATGATCATAAGAAATGCCCATATTAGACACATTACGGGGATTATTCAAAACAGTGAACACTAAGGCATTTGCTCAGCTATTTTTTTTTTTTATTTTACAAATAGATCCCAAATTTTAAATAAATGGACAAAATGAATTAAATGTTTAATAAATGGGCATCATGAAAATCACGAAATGTGTTTGTATGTTTTTTTTTTTCTATTTTTCTATGGAGTTATTGTTGTTGTATCTGTATTTGTAGCATCTCAGTATGGGCATCTTACTCTACATATCCAAGAAGTGACAGGCATTACAGTGAAATGAACGCCACTCTCTCAGCCAGGGCTGGATCTAGGGAGGTGCTGGGGTGGTACATGCCCCCCCCCCAGATTTTGGTTGTGCCCCCACAGGTCTCTGAGAATGCATTCACTGATCCAATAGCCAGTCTGATGAAGACAGTTCATATAAAGAGGCACACTGAGGGGGCCAATCCATGTAGGGGGGGCACTCTGATGGGGACACCTGATGTCAGGAGGCACTCTGATGGGGACACCTGATGTAAGGCGACACTGATGGGGACACCTGATGTAAGGGGACACTCTGATGGGGACACCTGATGTAAGGGGGCACTCTGATGGGGACACCTGATGTCAGGAGGCACTCTGATGGGGACAGCTGATGTAAGGGGACACTCTGATGGGGACACCGAATGTCAGGGGGCACTCTGATGGGGACACCTGATGTAAGGGGACAATCTGATGGGGACACCTGATGTCAGGGGACACTCTGATGGGGACACCTGATGTCAGAAGGCACTCTGATGGGGAGACCTGATGTCAGGGGGCACTCTGATGGTAACACTTGATGTCAGGGGGCACTCTGATGGGGACACCTGATGTAAGGGGACACTCTGATGGGGACACCTGATGTCAGGGGGCACTCTGATGGGGACAGCTGATGTAAGGGGACACTCTGATGGGGACACCTGATGTCAGGAGGCACTCTGATGGGGACACCTGATGTCAGGGGGCACTCTGATGGGGACACCTGATGTCAGGGGACATTCTGATGGGGACAGCTGATGTCAGGGGGCACTCTGATGGGGGCAACTGATGTCAGGGGGCACTCTGATGGTAACACTTAATGTCAGGGGGCACTCTGACGGGGACACCTGACATCAGGGGGCACTCTGATGGTAACACTTGATGTCAGGGGGCACTCTGATGGGGACACCTGATGTCAGGGGGCACTCTAGTGGGGACACCTGATGTAAGGGGGCACTCTGATGGGGACACCTGATGTAAGGGGACACTCTGATGGGGACACCTGATGTCAGGAGGCACTCTGATGGGGACACCTGATGTCAGGGGGCACTCTGATGGGGACACCTGATGTAAAGGGACACTTTGATGGGGACACCTGATGTCAGCGGGCACTCTAGTGGGGAAACCTGATGTCAGGGGGCACTCTGATGGGGACACCTGATGTCAGGGGACACTCTGATGTGGACACCTGATGTCAGGGGACACTCTGATGGGGACACCTGATGTAAGGGTGCACTCTGATGGGGACACCTGATGTAAGGGGACACTCTGATGGGGACACCTGATGTCAGAGGACACTCTGATGGGGACACCTGATGTAAGGGGACACTCTGATGGGGACACCTGTTAGGGGACACTCTGATGGGACACCTGATGTAAGGGGACACTCTGATGGGGACACCGAATGTCAGGGGGCACTCTGATGGGGACACCTGATGTAAGGGGACAATCTGATGGGGACACCTGATGTCAGGGGGACACTCTGATGGGGACACCTGATGTCAGGAGGCACTCTGATGGGGAGACCTGATGTCAGGGGGCACTCTGATGGTAACACTTGATGTCAGGGGGCACTCTGATGGGGACACCTGATGTAAGGGGACACTCTGATGGGGACACCTGATGTCAGGGGGCACTCTGATGGGGACACCTGATGTCAGGGGCACTCTGATGGGGACACCTGATGTCAGGGGACATTCTGATGGGGACACCTGATGTCAGGGGGCACTCTGATGGGGACACTTGACATCAGGGGGCACTCTGATGGTAACACTTGATGTCAGGGGACACTCTGATGGGGACACCTGATGTCAGGGGGCACTCTAGTGGGGACACCTGATGTAAGGGGGCACTCTGATGGGGACACCTGATGTAAGGGGACACTCTGATGGGGACACCTGATGTCAGGAGGCACTCTGATGGGGACACCTGATGTCAGGGGGCACTCTGATGGGGACACCTGATGTAAAGGGACACTTTGATGGGGACACCTGATGTCAGCGGGCACTCTAGTGGGGAAACCTGATGTCAAGGGGCACTCTGATGGGGACACCTGATGTCAGGGGACACTCTGATGGGGACACCTGATGTAAGGGTGCACTCTGATGGGGACACCTGATGTAAGGGGACACTCTGATGGGGACAGCTGATGTAAGAGGACACTCTGATGGGGACACCTGATGTCAGGGGGCACTCTGATGGGGACAATTGATGTAAGGGGTCTCTATTAAGAATGCTGATGTAAAGGAGTACTCTGATGAGAACACTTGGTATAAGGGGGCACTCTCATGAGCACCAGATGTAACAGGGGACTCTACTGAGTAGTCCTAGATTGTAAGCTCCATGGAGCAGGGCCCTCATATCCCTCTTGTATTGAACTGTATTGTTGCTGTATTGTCTCCTGTTATATTGTGAAGCGCTGAGAAAACTGTTGGTGCCATAAATCCTATATAATAATAATAATAATAAAAAAGAGGAACTCTGATGTGGACTCCTAATGTAAAGGGGGACTATGCTAAGGACATATGATATAAGGGGGCACAGTTTCTGTTTAATCACCTAATGACAACCTAATACATAATAATGTTTCCCAGGTCATGACACTATGTGACAGATTGTCAGTGAGCCCCCTGACTTTTTCTTACTGCACCCCCAGATCAGATAACCTAGATCTGGCCCTGCTCCCAGCTAGCCCAACTGATAAGATATTAAAGAACGGCCTCAGCCTGTGCTTCTCCGCAAACCACTACCCCCGATGCGTTTCGCCCTGCCCAAAGAGGGCTTAGTCATAGGGGCGTCTATAACTAGTGGGTGGGGCAAAACGCGTTAGAAACATGGTTTGGGGAGAAGCACAGGCTGAGGTCGTCTCTCGTGGTCTGGCGTTCATTTCACTGTATTGCATTTCAGGGACTGTCTAGCTTTTTTTTTTTTTTTTTTTAATATATACAATTTCTTTATCATTATTGGGTTTATTATTATTGGGATTATGAATAAAGATAAATATTAAGTATGGCATAGGAACATTTCATATGTACGACTCCCTGTAAGCAGGTAGCGAACTCTCCACTTTCCTGCCAGTACTGCAAGCTCACATAACGGCTTTTGCACTAAAAGAGACCTAAATAGCGGGGAGATCAGAATACACACACTGCAGAACGCCTTAAAGGGGAGGAAAATAGCTTGATACAAAGCTGAAACACATGTGTATTGTCTTACCTGCAAAAAAATTTGGTAACTCTATTTGGTCAAAATTTCTCATCCAGACACCCCTGCCAAACACCATAGCCAGGCCTCGACCATTTATCTTTTTATCGGTTCTGTCACAGCAGTACAGCTTGCACTGCATGAAACCTGATTGGCTCTCAGTGTTGCCCCTCCCTGTCCCAGACTGAATACTGCTGGGGGATTATAGGAGGCTGCTAAAAATTGACAACCCTCTTGTGGCTCTGTTGGCCATGTTTTATTCCTTGTGCCCGTCTGAAAAGCAATCTGCAGCAATTGCCAGGCAACACAGTGGCAATATATCACCCCCTCACTGCCTGTTATAACCCTTGAATGGCCGCAGCACCACGGCGCAGCCACATGCATTTGTGGTTTGCAGCGCAGCTGTATGCACTCAAATACACTGCTCAACAAAATGAAAGGAACACTATGAAAACGCATCAGATCTCAATGGGGAAAAATCTCCTGCTGGATCTCTATACTGACATGGACGGGGTGATGTGTTAGGAACGTAAGGACACCCCATCGTTTGATGGAAATGAAAATCATCGACCTACAGAGGACTGAATTCAAAGACACCCCGAAAATCAAAGTGAACAAATTATGCAGCAGGCGAGTCCAGTTTGGTGAAATGTCATTGCAGCAACTCAGAATGGTCCTCAGTAGTTTGTATGGCCCCCACGTGCTTGTATGCATGCCTGACAACGTCGGGGGAGGCTCCTAATGAGACCACGGATGGTGTCCTGGGGGATTTCCTCCCAGATCTGGACCAGGACATCACTGAGCTCCTGGACAGTCTGAGGTGCAACCTGGCGGCGTCAGATGGACCGAAACATGACATCCCAGAGGTGTTCTATTGGATTTCAGTCAGGAGAGGGTGGGGGCCATTCAATGGTATCAATTCCTTCATCCTCCAGGAACTGCCTGCCTACTCTCCAAACATGAGGCCGGGCATTGTCGTGCAACAGGAGGAACCCAGGACCCACTGCACCAGGAGGAACCCAGGACCCACTGCACCAGGAGGAACCCAGGACCCACACTGCACCAGCGTAGGGTCTGACAATGGGTCCAAGGATTTCATCCCGATACCTAATGGCAGTCAGGGTGCCATTGCCTAGCCTGTAGAGGTCTGTGCGTCCCTCCATGGATATGCCTCCCCAGACCATCACTGACCCACCAAAACGGTCATGCTGAACCATGCTACAGGCAGCAGAATGTTCTCCACGGCTTCTCCAGACCCTTTCACGTCTGTCACATGTGCTCAGGGTGAACCCGCTCTCATCTGTGAAAAGCACAGGGTGCCAGTGGTGGGCCTGCCAATTCTGGAGTTCAATGGCAAATGCCAATCCAGCTCTATGGTGCCGGGCAGTGAGCACAGGGCCCACTAGAGGACGTCGGGCCCACAGGCCACCCTCATGAAGTCTGTTTCTGATTGGTCAGAAACATTCACACCAGTGGCCTGCTGGAGGTCATTTTGTAGGGCTCTGGCAGTGCTCATCCTGTTCCTCCTTGCACAAAGGAGCAGATACCGGTCCTGCTGATGGGGTAAGGACCTTCTATGGCCCTGTCCAGCTCTCCTAGAGGAACTGCCTGTCTCCTGGAATCTCCTCCATGCTCTTGAGACTGTGCTGGGAGACACAGCAAACCTTCTGGCAATGGCATGTATTGATGTGCCATCCTGGAGGAGTTGGACTGCCTGGGCAACCTCTGTAGGGTCCAGGTATGGCCTCATGCTACCAGTAGTGATACTGACCCTAGCCAAATGCAAAACGAGTGAAAAACAGTCAGAAAAGATGAATAGGGTAAAAAATGTCAGTGGCCTCCACCTGTAAAACCAATCCTGTTTTGGGGGTTGTCTCATTGTTCCCCATCTAATGCACCTGTTGATATTTCATTAACACCAAAGCAGCTGAAACTGATTACCATCCCGCTCTGGGACTTACCTGACCAGATCCATATCCCAGGAGTTTCATTGACTTGATGCTATAATCTGATTAAAAAGTCTTCCTTTAATTTTTTTTGAGCAGTGTAGGATGTGTATGGCAGAAGTATTGCCTGCCGAACGCAACCTGGTGGTATAAGTTTTGTGTGGTGCACCGCAACCCCTGTGTGTGAATTATCGATTGGTTGGACAAGGGGTGGTAAAAACCACAGTTTAACCGCCTTTTTATTTTTTTACCACCTTCCCTGGTCACCTGTGTAAACAACGTTTTTGTGTTAGGGGCGGGGCATTGACAGCCTGTGCTCAATCTGCCAGGTGGCATAACACTGGGCATAATTTAACCCAGAAGAATGAGGACATCTTCTGGCAAAGAAGAGGTAGTGCAAGGGACAGCCCTAGATTGAACATGAGGAGGCTGCCAAACAAGCTGCTGACAAGGCCTGTGCTTCTAATTCACGTTGGAAAAAGACCATTGTAGGCAGGGTTGCCACCTCATCCCTTTAACACCGAATGCATATTAAAGGTTCTGGGGCTGATTAAGGTGGTAATTAAACTCACTCGGTGCCTTATATATAATAAATTACCCCCAGAACCTGTGTCATTAATATGTGTTCGGGATTAAAGGGAGGAGGTGGCGACCCTAATTGTAGGTCCAGTTCACTTCTGCTTTTTTCACTTTGTTGCCAGCCAAGCCCTGATGAAGGGGCCACCTAGACCCCCGAAACATGTTGGCTACTTTTTGAATTGTCCCTCTGACATTTATAGGAATAAAGCTGTATCTGGACCTCTTAGAAGTGGTATGGCGCTTCCGTTTCAACTCTAGATTGAAAGTGGGCATTGCTGCCTTCCTTGGGAACCCTTTTATGACATAAGAAAGTATATAAATAATTAAAAAAAAATACATTTCTGGATATAAATGAATGATAGAAAAATATATACAGGCGTGCCTCGGTTAACATAATTTTCGGTTTATGAATGAAAATCCATTGAAAATGGGAACAGCAATATTTCAAGTCTTGCCACAGATTCTCCATTGGATTTGGGTCTGGACTGTGACTGGGCCATTCTAACACATGAAGATGCTTTGATCTAAACCATTCCATTGTAGCTCTGGCTGGATGTTTCGGGTCGTTGTCCTGCTGGAAGGGGAACCTCCACCCCGGTCTCAAGTCTTTTGCAGACTCTAACAGGTTTTCTTCTAAGATTGCCCTGTATTTGGCTCCATCCATCTTCCCATCAACTCTGACCAGCTTCCCTGTCCTGCTGAAGAAATGCATCCCCACAATATGATGCTGCCACCACCATGTTTCACAGTGAGGGATGGTGTGTTCAGGGTGATGTGCAGTGTTAGTTTTTTTACCACACATAGCGTTTTACTTTTAGGTCAAAAAGTTCAATTTTGGTCTCCTCTGACCAGAGCCCCTTCTTCCACACATGTTTCCTGTGTCCCCCACATGGCTTCTCACAAACTGCAAACAGGGCTTCTTATGGCTTTCTTCCAACAATGGCTTTCTTCTTGCCACTCTTCCATAAAGGCCAGATTTGTGGAGTGCACAACTAATAGTTATCTTGGACAGATTCTCCCACCTGAGCAGCTCCTCCAGAGTTCCCATGGGCCTCTTGGCTGCTTCTCTGATGAATGCTCTCCTTGCCCGGCCTGTCAGTTTAGGTGGGCGGCCATGTCTTGGTAGGTTTGCAGTTGTGCCGTACTCTTTCCATTTTCGGATGATGGATTGAACAGAGCTTCGTGACATGGTCAAAGCTTGGGGTA